TTTTTTGAATTATTATTAAACTTCTTATAAAAAAATTAAAATTATAACAAGTTAGATGAAGTTGATTTGATTTTATCAAAGTTTTCTTGACGTATAACCCAAAATTGGGATAAATATTGAAGTTTTGAGGTGATTCTTTCGCATTAAATTCAAATTTTTACTAAAACATTAACTTTTTTGATGAAGTTTCATAAAATAACATCGCTATCATTGAAGTTATTAAGATTTCACATTTTTAATTCTCAAATTTTAAAGTTTTGGTGAAGTTTCATCAAATAAATACAAATAATTTATTAAAATTTGAAGATTTGATGAAGTTTCAATTAAATTTTTTGAATCATTATTAGACTTCTTGTAAAAATTAAGTTTTGTTAAAGAATAAGGCTTAAAATTGAAGTTTTGAAGTAGTTTTCTTGTACTAAACTTTCTTATTAACGTTCTGCGGTTAAGTTTCATAAAGCGATGTTGTTATTATTGAAGTTTTTGTGGTTACTTGTATGATAGAATATCTAATTATTCTCAATTTGTATCGCAAGAAGATCGTCCAATTGCTAGCGCACCAACTGAAAGATGAAAATTGCGGTAACGTAATGGTTGAATTTATTGGCTTAAGTTCGTGATATCGACGTGGTCAATAGGGCACTAAGATGGGGTTGAAGGGGTTGAAGGGGGTCAATAGGGCTCTAAGATGGGGTTGAAGGGGTTGAAGGAGGTCAATAGGGGGTTGAAGGGGGACAATAGGGCACTAAGATGGGGTTGGGTTGGGTTGAAGGGGGTCAATAGGGCGCTAAGATGAGGTTGGGTTGGGTTGAAGGAGCGTCGACCGATCCTTAAGGATGCTACAGGTACGTCACTTCTTTTAGTTCCGCCACCCACCGCTAGGTGGCGCAACCGTCGACCGATCCTTAAGGATCGATCCTTTGCTCCTTGCTCCTACGCCAGAACTCTCATTAATACACTACTGGTGTTATTTTCGATTTGTGCTTGTCGAACATCATTCAACGTTTCTGATCCATGATTTAGTAGACTGCACTTGCTTTTGCTGTTCTGCGTATTTCCTGATCTATCTTTCCATCATTACCTATTATGGTTCTAAGATATTCGTATTTTCAACCACTTTGTTCTACTTTATTATCATTCTCTTTTTTTATAGGCAGGTATTCCATATTTGTATGTTTCTGTGTTGGACATTTTTCAAATTATTAATTTCCTTGTGAACATACATTTTCAATTATCATTTTTCTTTGCGTATTTAGAACATGCACATCTATACGTGTCTATTTTTCGACATTTACCGTGGTAAAACCTAAGATTCACCGAGTGTATGGTGGTAAAAGTTCGAAGTGAACGATGATTACACAACATTTCGGACTTTTACTATTCAGAGTTGGTAAATGTTAGGTTTCAGTGGAAAATCTTAGGATTTACCGTAATTCGGGTTTTTAGAAGATAAAAAGATAAAAAAGATAACCTTAAAAATATCGTATTTATGTCAGTGTACTGTGCCGCCTAGTGGAGATATCGAATTTTTTTATATAAATAATCCATTTTAAATCACATTTTGAGTAAATATTATAAAAAATATTTTTGGATGAAACGTCAATTATCACCATACTGTTCAGAGGGAAATTAAGTTAATTATTACTTGTTATAATACCACATAAATTGGCGACGAGAGAAAGAAAACGGAAACAAGTTATAACAGGTGGCGTGACGTTATAAGCAGCGTTGCCAACCCTACCGATTTATCGGTATATCTACCGATATACGATTTAATCTACCGATTTTCAAAATTTTAAAATTTACGAAGTATTATGAAACACATCGTACTTAAAATCAATACAATTGCGACAAAAATTGTACCTTATGGGAATACCCTACTTATATTGCATAAAAGTATATACCAATGATATGACAATGTCGCTCGAGCAACGTTGCCAGATCGTTGTTATATACAGTATGCGTCATAAGTAAACCCCCTGCCTAATTTGAAAACGGTTCAAAATATAATATTGTCAAAATAGATATTGACGCGTCTAAGAGCAAAAGTGCAAGGGAGCAATATTATTAACAATAAAATTTGCTACAACTTTTATTGTAAAAGTTTTTTTTGTAACAAGCTGCGTTCCCGAGTGTTACCTTTAATAACTTGAAAAAGCAACAAATTTTCATATTTTCGTACTTTTCTCGATATTGACGCATTTAAGAGCTAAAGCGCAAGAGAGCAATATTGTTAACAATAAAATTTGCTACAACTTTTGTGCTGAAAGTCTTTTGTAACATACTGCGATTCCTAAGGGTTACCTTTAATAACTTGAAAGAGCAACAAATTCATACAATTTTGGTATCTATCTCGATATTGACGTATCTACGAGCAAAAGTGCAAGGGAGCAATATTGTTAACAATAAAATTAGCAACAATTTTTGTTATAAAAGATTTCTTACAGCAAGCCCCGAGTCCCAAGTGTTACCTTTAATAACTTCAAAGAGCAACAAATTCATACAATTTTCATATTTTCGTATCTATCTCAATATTGACGTATCTAAGAGCAAAAGTGCAAGGGAGCAATGTTGTTAACAATAAAATTTGCAACAATTCTTGTTATAAAAGATTTCTTATAGCAACCCCCGATTCCTAAGTGTTACCTGTAATAACTTGAAAGAGCAACAAATGCATGCAATTTTCATATTTTCGTATCTATCTCGATATTGACGTATCTAAGAGCAAAAGAGCAAGAGAGCAATATTGTTAACAATAAAATTTGCAACAATTTTTGTTATAAAAGATTTCTTATAGCATACTCCGATTCCCAAGTGTTATCTTAGAGCAACAAATGCATGCAATTTTCATATTTTCGTATCTATCTCGATATTGACGTATCTAAGAGCAAAAGTGCAAGAGAGCAATATTGTTAACAATAAAATTTGCAACAATTTTTGTTATAAAAGATTTCTTGTAGCAACCCCTGATTCCTAAGTGTTACCTGTAATAACTTGAAAGAGCAACAAATGCATGCAATTTTCATATGTTCGTATCTATCTCGATATTGACACCCAAAAATCTATATACTCGTACAATTATTTGCTGTGGAACATAGTGACTTAACAAAATCATTCCGAATCGGACAAGAAGGCGAATACTCTTCCCCCATTGCTAACGGATATAATTTTGGTCCAATATTGTATTTGTTATGTACCAGTGATATTCCCAAGCCGATGCAAAACTATCCCATTTTGAAGTGTTCAAGCCAAGGTCGTTTGCGGGCGAGGCGCTACACTAATGCCAACCCGGTACAGAATTATCTCATTTTTACGGATATATATAGTAATTAACCTGTGGTCGCGGTCCCATTTAATTTTATATGATATTAATATGATATTTAATGCAGCGCCTCGGCTTAATTAAACTACAACTAGTCATTAGTTAAGCTGAGGCAGCCTCACCCTCATTGCAATGTATGTCCCAATTCGAAATTTTCTTAAAATTAAAACTCAAAGAAACAAAACACAGAAATGATATCACATAAATATATTTATTATTATTGCAGTATCATATCAGCAAATTTAATTATACTCTAAATACGAACATAACCTCAACCCACTTAATTTAGTGTAGGAATTGGATGAACGAGAACGACGATAACAAAGCGATGAACCTCAGATGGAGGAATATCGGAAATTGGTTGTTTTTCATACAACGTGTCTTCTTGTTCTTTATTATACAGTAATTCTTTATACATCATATATTTACTACACCCCACCAAACCAAGAAATATCAAGCCGATAGCAGCTCCTGCTACACATTTAATTATCCTTGTCGGTATAATAATTAATCTTCTATCTCCATTATTATTGTCTAGATTTCTAAGGTTTGGAAAAATATTTCGTGTTGTATTGATTTTTGACGTCATAAAGTCGTTCATCCCATGGTCCATTTTCGTTCTAAACCGGCTTTCTCTTAAAATCCCTAGAAAATCGAATTTCTTATTAAAAAAATCATCTCGTTCAACATTTACGAGTGGTTCCTCTGTTGAAGGAACAGTTAAAAGGTTATTTTGAGTGAGTGCATTCGACGCGATGTTTTTCATTAAAAGAAACGATAACAACAATCTGAAATGAATAGTTTTGTTATGGTATTAAATATATTTTTCATTTTTCGGGTACTTACTTTGTAGTGAAAATCATTTTTGCATTGGACATTTTATAACCTAGCAGCACCTGTTCAAAACGAAGGTTGAGGGAATAAAGCTGGGACTATAAATAGAGATGCGCTTTTATTACCTAAACAAGATTTTCCCGGTGACACCTGAAAATTAAAGCTAAACAAATATCGAAACTAAATGCACATTTGTAATAATTAATTAATGTGATTCTTTTTAAAATATTTTTATTAAAAATATTGTGTGAATTTTTTTAATACAATTAAAAAAGGAATAACTTTTGTTAATCAAATTTTTTAATTTCTCTGTGAACAGTAAGTATGAAATACAATTTAATTCAAATCAAGAAATTTCAAAGCTAATTATTATTTTTATCGAAATATGTTTCATGCAATATTTGTTGCTTATATCAAAAAGCTTTTCAAATAAAACATGTTAAGAATTAATAAGGCAACAAGTTTTATTAATACAATTTTTTGAAATTATCAATTTTTTAATTTCCCTCTGAATAATACAAAAATTGAATTCAATGTTATTTTGCTAATTGTTATTTGTATCAAAAAGTTCTTCAAATAAAACTTGTTCAAAATTAAAAAGGGAACAACTTTTATTAATACAATTTTTTGAAATTATCAATTTTTTAATTTCCCTCTGAATAATACAAAAATTGAATTCAATGTTATTTTGCTAATTGTTATTTGTATCAAAAAGTTCTTCAAATAAAACTTGTTCAAAATTAAAAAGGGAACAACTTTTATTAATACAATTTTTTGAAATTATCAATTTTTTAATTTCCCTCTGAATAATACAAAAATTGAATTCAATGTTATTTTGCTAATTGTTATTTGTATCAAAAAGTTCTTCAAATAAAACTTGTTCAAAATTAAAAAGGGAACAACTTTTATTAATACAATTTTTTGAAATTATCAATTTTTTAATTTCCCTCTGAATAATACAAAAATTGAATTCAATGTTATTTTGCTAATTGTTATTTGTATCAAAAAGTTCTTCAAATAAAACTTGTTCAAAATTAAAAAGGGAACAACTTTTATTAATACAATTTTTTGAAATTATCAATTTTTTAATTTCCCTCTGAATAATACAAAAATTGAATTCAATGTTATTTTGCTAATTGTTATTTGTATCAAAAAGTTCTTCAAATAAAACTTGTTCAAAATTAAAAAGGGAACAACTTTTATTAATACAATTTTTTGAAATTATCAATTTTTTAATTTCCCTCTGAATAATACAAAAATTGAATTCAATGTTATTTTGCTAATTGTTGTTTGTATCAAAAAGTTTTTCAAATAAAACTTGTTAAGAATTAGTGAGGGAACAACTTATATTAATACAATTTTTTGAAATTATCAATTTTTTAATTTCCCTCTGAATAATACAAAAATTGAATTCAATGTTATTTTCCTAATAGTTGTTTGTAGCAAAAAGTTCTTCAAATAAAACTTGTTCAAAATTAAAAAGGGAACAACTTTTATTAATACAATTTTTTGAAATTATCAATTTTTTAATTTCCCTCTGAATAATACAAAAATTGAATTCAATGTTATTTTGCTAATTGTTGTTTGTATCAAAAAGTTCTTCAAATAAAACTTGTTCAAAATTAAAAAGGGAACAACTTTTATTAATACAATTTTTTGAAATTATCAATTTTTTAATTTCCCTCTGAATAATACAAAAATTGAATTCAATGTTATTTTGCTAATTGTTATTTGTATCAAAAAGTTCTTCAAATAAAACTTGTTCAAAATTAAAAAGGGAACAACTTTTATTAATACAATTTTTTGAAATTATCAGTTTTTTAATTTCCCTCTGAATAATACAAAAATTGAATTCAATGTTATTTTGCTAATTGTTATTTGTATCAAAAAGTTCTTCAAATAAAACCTGTTCAAAATTAAAAAGGGAACAACTTTTATTAATACATTTTTTTGAAATTATTAATTTTTTAATTTCCCTCTGAATAATACAAAAACTGAATTCAATGTTATTTTCCTAATTGTTATTTATATCAAAAAGTTTTTCAAATAATACTTGTTAAAAATTAATAAAGGAACAACTTTTATTAATACAATTTTTTGAAATTATCAATTATTTAATTTCCCTCTGAATAATACAAAAATTGAATTCAATGTTATTTTCCTAATTGTTGTTTGTACCAAAAAGTTTTTCAAATAAAACTTGTTAAGAATTAGTGAGGGAACAACTTTTATTAATACAATTTTTTGAAATTATCAATTTTTTGATTTCCCTCTGAATAATACAAAAATTGAATTCAATGTTATTTTGCTAATTGTTATTTGTATCAAAAAGTTTTTCAAATAAAACTTGTTAAGAATTAATAAGGGAACAACTTTTATTAATATAATTTTTTGAAATTATTAATTTTTTAATTTCCCTCTGAATAACACAAAAATTGATTTCAGTGTTATTTTCTTAATTGTTATGTGTATCAAAAATTTTTTCAAATAAAACTTGTTAAGAATTAAAAAGAGAACAACTTTTATTAATAAATCTTTGTCTCATCATTTTTAGTTTTAGAGTCATAACAGATTTTGTTCATCAAAAACGTCGATTTTTACTTTTCCATCATCTTTGGTATATAATAGAGAAACTAATAGAGTTAGAATAAAATTGATTAAGAAACATATCTTCTAGGATTCATAATGAACAACATTTATTAATAAAAATTTACCCCATGACTTTAAATTTAAGAATTATGACAGATTTGAATCACCAAAAACCTTAATTTTTAAGTTTCCACCGTCTTAGGCATGTAATAGAAAAGCTTGTAGAGTTGCAATGAAATCGATTAAGAAGCATATCTTCTAGAGTTCATAATAAAAAACATTTATTAATAAAATTTTGCCCCATTATTTTAAGTTTAAGAATTATGACAGATTCGAATCACCATAAACCTTAATTTTTAAGTTTCCATCGTCTTAGGCATGTAATAAAAAAACTAATAGAGTTGCAATGAAATCGATTAAGAAGCATATCTTCTAGGGTTCATAATGAAGAAAATTTATTAATAAAATTTTGCCCCATTATTTTAAGTTTAAGAATTATGACAGATTTGAATCACCGAAAACCTTAATTTTTAAGTTTCCACCATCTTAGGCATGTAATAGAAAAACTAATAGAGTTGCAATGAAATCGATTAAGAAGCATATCTTCTAGGGTTCATAATGGGTTCATAATGAAGAAAATTTATTAATAAAATTTTGTCCTGTTTAAGAATTATGACAGATTTGAATCACCAAAAACCTTAATTTTTAAGTTTCCACCGTCTTAGGCATGTAATAGCAAAGCTAATAGAGTTGCAATGAAATCAATTAAGAAACATATCTTCTAGGGTTCATAATGAACAAAATTTATTAATAAAATTTTACACCATGATTTTAAATTTAAGAATTCTGACAAATTTGAATCACCATAAACCTTAATTTTTAAGTTTCCACCGTCTTAGGCGAGTAATAGAAAAACTAATGGAGTTGCAATGAAATCGATTAAGAAACATATCTTCTAGGGTTCATAATGAAGAAAATTTATTTATAAAATTTTACCCCATGATTTTAAGTTTAAGAATTCTGACAGATTTGAATCACCATAAACCTTAATTTTTAAGTTTCCACCGTCTTAGGCATGTAATAGAAAAACTAATAGAGTTGCAATGAAATCGATTAAGAAACATATCTTCTAGGGTTCATAATGAACAAAATTTATTAATAAAATTTTGCCCCATTATTTTAAGTTTAAGAATTATGACAGATTTGAATCACCATACTATTCAGAGGGAAATTAAGTTAATATTTTTATATCAATATGGCGCGCTTCCCAGCGTGAAATTGAAATAAAATAATTAACGAAAATGATTATTAATTTAACTGTGAAGGCATTTATATAAAATCTTTTAGTAAAATCAATTATTTTAAAGATAACCTTAAAAATATCATATTTATATTAGTGTACTGCGTCGCCTGATGGAGATATCAAATTTTTTTATTTAAATAATCTATTTCAAATCACGTTTTGAATAAATATTGTAAGAAACATTTTTCGATTATACGTCAATTATCACCATACTATTCAGAGGGAAATTAAGTTAAAATCTTTATATCAATATGGCGCGCTTCCCAGCATGAAATTGAAACAGAATTGTTCACGAAAATTATTACTAATTTAATTGTGAAGGTATTTACATAAAAATATCTTCCAATAAAGTCAATAATTTTCAAGGTAACTTCAAAAAATGTCTATAAAAAAGGTATATCCCAGTACGTCGCGCCCCCTGGTGCAAATATCGAAAAATTTTATTTAAATAATTTATTTCAAATAACATTTTGAATAAATATTGTAAGAAACATTTTTCGATTAAACGTCAATTATCACCATACTATTCAGAGGGAAATTAAGTTAATATCTTTGTATCAAAATGGCGCGCTTCCCAGCGTGAAATTGAAATAAAATAATTAACAAAAATGATTATTAATTTAACTGTGAAGGCATTTACATAAAATCTTTTAGTAAAATCAATTATTTTAAAGATAACCTTAAAAATATCATATTTATATCAGAGTACTGCGCCGCCTGGTGGAGATATCAAATTTTTTTATTTAAATAATCTATTTTAAATCACATCTTGAATAAATATTGTAAGAAACATTTTTCGATTAAACGTCAATTATCACCATACTATTCAGAGGGAAATTAAGTTAATATTTTTATATCAATATGGCGCGCTTCCCAGCGTGAAATTGAAATAAAATAATAAACAAGAACGATTATTAATTTAACTGTGAAGGCATTTACATAAAATCTTTTAGTAAAATCAATTATTTTAGAGATAACCTTAAAAATATCATATTTATATCAGTGTACTGCGCCGCCTGATGGAGATATCAAATTTTTTTATTTAAATAATCTATTTTAAATCACATTTTGAACAAATATTGTAAGAAACATTTTTCGATTAAACGTCAATTATCACCATACTATTCAGAGGGAAATTAAGTTAATATCTTTATATCAATATGGCGCGCTTTCCAACGTGAAATTGAAATAAAATAATTAACGAAAATGATTATTAATTTAACTGTGAAGGCATTTACATAAAATCTTTTAGTAAAATCAATTATTTTTAAGATAACCTTAAAAATATCGTATTTATATCACTGTACTGCGCCCCCTGATGGAGATATCAAATTTTTTTATTTAAATAATCTATTTCAAATCACGTTTTGAATAAATATTGTAAAAAACATTTTTCGATTAAACGTCAATTATCACCATACTATTCAGAGGGAAATTAAGGTAATATCTTTATATCAATATGGCTCGCTTCCCAGCATGAAATTGAAACAGAATTGTTCACGAAAATTATTACTAATTTGATTGTGAAGGCAATTACATAATATCTTTTAGTAAAATCAATTATTTTTAAGATAACCTTAAAAATATCATATTTATATCAATGTACTGCGTCGCCTGGTGGAGATATCGAATTTTTCTATTTAAATAATCTACTTTAAATCATATTTTGAACAAATATTGTAAGAAACATTTTTCGATTAAACGTCAATTATCACCATACTATTCAGAGGGAAATTAAGTTAATATCTTTATATTAATATGACGCGCTTCCCAGCGTGAAATTGAAACAGAATTGTTCACGAAAATTATTACTAATTTAATTGTGAAGGTATTTACATAAAAATATCGTTCAATAAAGTCAATAATTTTCAAGATAACCTCAAAAATGTCTATAAAAAACGTATATACCAGTACGTCGCGCCCTCTGCTGCAAATATCGAAAATTTTTATTTAAATAATTTATTTCAAATAGCATTTTGAATAAATATTGTACGAAACATTTTTCGATTAAACGTCAATTATCACCATACTATTCAGAGGGAAATTAAGTTAATATCTTTATATCAATATAGCGCGCTTCCCAGCATGAAATTGAAACAGAATTGTTCACGAAAATTATTACTAATTTAATTGTGAAGGTATTTACATAAAAATATCTTTCAATAAAGTCAATAATTTTTAAGATAACCTCAAAAATGTCTAGAAAAAATTTATATACCAGTACGTCGCGCCCCCTGGTGAAGATATCGAATTTTTTTATTTAAATAATCTATTTCAAATCACATTTTGAATAAATATTGTAAGAAACATTTTTCCATTAAACGTCAATTATTACCATACTACTCAGAGGGAAACTAAATTAATCGGTTTATATCAATATAACACGCTTCCCCACATGAAATTTATATAGAATTAATAATTAAAATTAGTGCTAATTTAATTGTGAAGGCATGATATATAACACAATATATAATTTAAGGTGGGTTAGATTAAAAAGAATTAATTATTTAAATAAATGTGTCACTACTGGGTATTAAAAAATATTTATTAAGTTACTATTATTATATATTATAATAAATAACTTATTTAGACGGGATAAACAAGCTGATATCGACGATCGGAAGATAAATCGATCGGTTGCTGTTTGCGTTTAAAACTCCCTATACAACATTTACAACACGAAATTATTAAACCAACTATAAATGCAACAACAATTAATACCACACGCGTCATTTTTTTAATTACTTTCGTACCATGTATTCTAGGATAACTTTCTGGTAATTGTATTGGTTGTTTTAAAAGTTTTACCCCATTACTCCACTTTTCTAATTTAAATGGTTGTAAAAGTTTTTGATGTCTCTCCATTAAACTATCTCCAATGTGTGGTAAAAAATGAGGCTTAAATCGGAGTGGTATAAAGCCATTTTTAAATGAATTAGTCTTATTTACATCTCTGATTTCTAAGTCGGTAAAAATCGGGGACGCAATCGTTTGGAAGTTTTTAATTGCGATGATCAATAAGATAGAAAAAGAAAATCTGCAATAAAGTGTTATATATTTATTATATGTATATTATGAAATAAATTGTTCTTACTCTATTTCGCAACGCATTTCTATGTGCACTGGTTCAATAGTTATTATTTTATTATGATTATTCTCAATTTGTACCTGGCAATTCAACAACTACAATTTGCATTAATATTATTCATAAATCCCCACTCTTAGAAAATTAGTTGCAATACTTATCTATACAACGGAAGTGTAGAAAAGTACGTAATACATCACAGATAAGAATACTAATACGCTTTGAAATTTCTGGA